GGACGCCTTTTGCCGCCGCCCCCCCCCCCCAGCAGCTGACAAGACCCCAAGGTCACCGCAGTGCTCGGAGGCCCCACCACCTCTCTGGGAAGAGGTTGAGGCGCAACACGAAAGATGGCCCCTGCCCCGCAATGTCACCCTTGCAGTAGTTAACAAGATTACCAAACAAAGCTGGACTCCCCACTTACTAAACTGAATTCCGGGATTCGTTGTGCTAGGTCCCTGGGGAGACAGATGCATGGGCGCAGGGCAGAGAGGGGAGTGGGTCTACAGGCAGGATGTCTGCAGCCGAGGTGGATCCCAGAGGACACCTGCATGGAGGTCATACAGGCTCAGCCAGAAATGCAACTGCTCGCCAAGACAGCGGAGGACACTCTGGGCCTGCGTTTACCACAGAAAATGACCCACGGTGTGCATGTGATTTGGGGAATAAGCTTTCTGTCGAAGTTTCACTGGAAAAGCTGAAAAATAGTCATAATGGCTACATTTACTGAACAAAGGTGTGGTCAGCCCGGTATCCACGGGATCCACATCTGCACCTTCAACTAACGGCACATTGGGAATATTCCAGAGCCTGGTGTGGTGGCGCACCCCTGCAGTCCCAGCACTCAGGAGGCTGAGGCAGGAGGATCGCTGTGAGTTGGAGGCCAGCCTGGGGTACATAGTGAGTTCAAAGCCACCCTGAACTACATAGCAAGGCCCTGCCTCCAACAAAACAAAACAAAAAACAAAACACCACCATAAGGACACCCGACTGTTTGGGTTACTGTCACTGTAACTTAATTACTCTTTCAAGATTCTTTCTGTAAAACTAGTCCCATTGTGAGAGTGGGGCTAGGGCTTCAGCCTGTGAATAGGGGAAGCACACAGTTGGGTTACGATGCCTCCATGTGCCTGGATCTATCTAAATCTATAATTTCATCTTCAACAGCCCTGTAAGGCTACTGCTGATCCATTTCACAGACAAGGCACTAAGGCTCGGAAGGGCTTAAAACTCAGCCCAGGCCATAAGCTTGTAAGCATCAGGAACTGACCGGGGCTGCCTTACTAAAAAGCCCAGGCCTGTAACCACCGTGCCACACCCAGAAGAGGAAGAAAACCCCTAGCAGGTGTGGCCATTCCGCCTTCCTCGCTCCCATTTGCACTCAGCAGGGCCATTAACTACCAGTGTTTATTCTCCACTTGTGACTGTGTCCCAGGTGACAGGGGGAGCTTTGAGTCCTCCACAGGAGAATTGTGGAATTGAACTGGGAATCATTTTAATTTGTGTAAGAATTGGGTGGTTCTGGCGCCTGCCTCGCAAGCTAAAGGTCCCAAGTTCGATCCCCAGTACCAAGAAAAAAAAATAAGAATTGGGTGGTTCTCCCGGAAGGAAATCTATGGAGAAAACCACAAGACTCTGTCTGAATCTTTAGATCTAAGAAAAAAGTTCAGCACACAAAATCCATTCCCTGAAAGCCAGGTGTGGTAGTGCACATATGTAGTCCTAACACTCAGGAGGCTGAAGCAGGAGGATGGCCATGAGTTCAAGGCCAACCTGGGCTACATAGTGAAGTCCTGTCTCAAAAAAATAAAGATCCAATCAAAGGATACAAATTTTTATATACTGTAGAAACAGGAGATTGGTAACGAGTGTCTTGAATCTAAAGATACATGCGACCACCTTTGCAGTTAGGGAATCACTGATATTACGAGGCAAGAGTGCAGGGTATTTTTACCATGGTGCAGACACGCGTTCTGTTGCCTCTTCCCAAAGCCTGTCATGACCAGGCATCTCCTAACAGTTGTTCTTCAGCGGACACACGTGTTCAGCCTTGGCAGAATTTGGAATTAAGTACAGAAATGCTTACAAGAATAAAACTTGTACTAATTTCTTGGCCAGTACTGGGGATTGAACCTAGGGTTTTTGCACTGAGCTACATCCCAGACTTTTTTGACTCTTTGTTTTAAGACAAGGTCCCTTTAAGTCATTCAGTTGCCCGGGTTGAACTCAAGTGTACAATCCTCCTGCCTCAGCCTCCCACAATGCTGGGATGACAGGTGTGCACCACCACACCCAGCTATTATTATGACTTTAATGAACATTATATAATTCTTTTTTCTTGCAGCACTGGGGATTGAACCCAGGACCTTGTACATGCAAGCCGTACACTCTTTCCCTGAGCTACAAACTTGCACATTTTCATGGGGTCCAGAATAGCATTTTGACAGTGTGCACAGCATGTGGTGGTCAATCAGGGTAACTGGCATTTCCACTTCTGTGTCTTTTTTTAATGATTGGACCCTTGCGCTCCATACTAATATTTGGGTAGTAAGAGATCCGTACACACTAATAATGTAGTGCTCATAATACTTGTTAGTGACCAAACATGTTCTTCTAAAACTCCTCTGTTAAAATCTAACCCCTGGTGACGAGGGCCTTGAAAATGAGGCCTCAGAAGTAATCAGTCACAAGGATGAGCCCTCCTAACTGGGACTGTGGCACTGAAAGGAGAGAGCAAGCCCAGCACTTGGGAGGCTGAGGCTTTTCTCCCTGTCTCCTGACCAGCTTTCTTTCTGCAGCCCAGCCAGTGAGCCACAGCACCCCAAGGCAGCTGGAGAACACATACATACAGTAGGTGGGGCCTACACCCCCTTCCTGCGGGGAAAAGCTATAGAAAACAGAGACCCCCCACTCCCTCAGCATCCAAGAAGAATTATGGGCATTTCATCTCTCAGGGGGAAATGAGACAGGAGATTGGGGCATGGAAAACTGGCTGGGGGAGTGGGTGTGACCTGTTAATTACAAAATCCCAGGACACAAGTGCCGAGCAGTTAGCAAAACCCTGCACAAGGACTTCTGGAAAGAACTCGACCAGCGTTTTGATAGGACAGCCTAGACTGTCGTCAGCCTGAGGACTGGGTGATACAAAACGACAGTCTACACTGAGTCTTTGCCACCGTGTTCTCTCTCGCATGGTGGCCGCCCTCACGCTATAGGGTGCACTTCTTTTCCTACCTTTATGTGGCCCAAGCTCACTCTGCACAGCCTTTTTCCCTACCTTTAATAAAACTTGCTACCTTTATCCTTGTCTTGACCAGTTCTTTGGTAAGGACAGAAAGAACCTAGAAACCACCTCTAAGGGGAAACTCCAGCACCCCAAAACCCGGTAACAGGAAGACTAAAGCAGGAGGATCACCACAAGTCATAAGCCAGACTGGGCTACACAGTAAGTTCAAGGCCAGGCTAAACCACATAGCAAGGACCTGCATCAAAACACAAAACAAAGCCAAGGATTTAGCTCAGTGGTTCCGCCGCCTGCCTCACAAATGCAAGGACCTGAGTTCAATCCCCAGTACCAAAAAAAAAAAAAATTAAAAAATTAAAAATAAAACACAAAACAAAAATAAAGACTAGAACCTGAAATTCCAAATGCATTGATATATCAAAACATCACATTGGAGCCGGGATTTAGCAGTGTTTCCGTTACCTGCATCTCAAGCACAAGGACTGGAGTTTGATCCCTGGTACCAAAAAAAAAAAATCACATTGTAACCCATCAATATATAGTTATTATTTGTCAATTAAAAAATAAAACACATAGGGCCGGGGATTTAGCTCAGTGATTCCGGTGCCTGCTGCCCAAGCACAAGGTCCCAAGTTCAATCCCTGGTACCAAAAATAAATAAATAAATGGATAAATAAATAAATAAATAAAGTGTACCATAATCTGGATGCTATCTTCAATTTGCAAAGTCCAAAGCTGACATGATTATCTTCATTATTGGGAGCGAATGAGCTATAACCTAAGGGACAAACTGAATTGTCCATGGGAGGTGGCAACGTAGTTACATTATACAGTTTAAAGGGCAAACTGTATTAATTCAAGACCAGGAAGGAAAAGAAAAGCCCTTGCCTGCGATTCAGTAGCAAGTTCCCGATTCTTAGTGTTTTCTGGGTGTAATCACCTCCCTTATCCGTCTTATTTTTTATTTTTAGACACAATCAGTAGAAATTTTTTCAGCACAAAACAGCAAAGTGGCAAGCCTTGGTGCTAAAGAAATCTAATATCACACACCCTGACATAGCTCTGTGGCTTCCATCCCTTGACTGAAATTCCCAGAGGAAGGGACAACCTCAGAGCAGTCAGCTCAGCAGGCAGATCTGTCCCGGCCCAGCCCCCAGGACTGTAGCACATCCTGCAGGGGCCACGCGAAGCTTTCACTGCAACCTGCCACCCAGCTAAGCTTGGAAGAGTGACCAGCCCGCTGAGAGGTGTGTGTTCGCGAGACCTGAAAAGTGTCCGGACAGTGCTGAACAGGTCTCAAGCAAGCCTTGAGAGCTTGTGGTTACCACTAGAATCACCGGAAGCAGAGGAGCATTTTGGATGGGCAAACCCAGAATCTGGGAAATCCGAAGGATATTTTACCAGCTTCCTGTTTAACAAACACATGGGCTGTTCTGTTTATTCCGTGGCCCCAGGGAGGGAACCCAGGGCAGCAACTCCAGCTCATGTACATAGTTCTGTGGGGGTTTTGAGTTAGTTCCTATCATTATTAGAGTCAAGGTCTCACTGTGGAGTTCAGGCTGGCCACAAACATTCATTGATCCTCCTGCATCAGCCTCCCCGGTGCTTGGATGACAGGCAGGCACCACCATGCCCAGCTTCCCAAATACACAGTTTTTAAAAGAGAATCAGGAGTGCCTGGGATTTAGCTCAGTGGTTCTGCCAATTGCCTCGAAAGCACAAGGATCTGAATTCGATCCCCGGTACCAAAAAAAAAAAAAGAGAGAGAAAGAATCATTGTCAGTAGCAGAAGATGCAAGGTACTACCAAATACATGTGTGGGTCATCTTTAAATCCTGATTCAAACAAACTATTTGTACAAAGACATTTTTGAGCAATTGGAGAAACCTGCACATGGACTGAGAATTAGATGAAATTAAGGAGTGATTATTCTTTGGGGGGGGTAATGATTATGCTCTTGTGCTGATACTGAGGAAAGAGGCCTTTCTTTACCTTCTGAAGACATTAACGAAGTACTTGAGGTTGGGCAGGGAGTGTAGCTCAGTAGTAGAGTGCTTGGCTGTCACACAGGACAAAGTCCTGGGTCCAAATCCCCAGTGCTGAAAAAAGAAAAAAAATGTAAGTACTGAAGGAGAAGGCAGGTAGAGAGAATGAAAATGATAAAATATTGATCATTGCTGCAGTTGGCCAATGCCTGTAGATGCTTCACAAGACTATTCTGTGCTTGGATGTGTTTGAAATTTCAATAAGCAGGGCCAGGGATTTAGCTCAGTGGCACCGCCACCTTCCTCGCAAGCGCAAGGTCTCAAGTTCTATCCCCGGTACCACAAAAAAAAAGAAATTTCAATAAGAGAGTTTCCAAGTTGGGTGTGGTGGTGCACACCTGTATCCAAGCACTCAGGAGGCTGAGGTAGGTGGATCTCCGTGACTTCCAGGGCAGCCTGGGCTACACAGCGAGTTCAAGGTCAGCCTGAACTACACAGGGAGATACTAGCTCAAAAAAACAGACACAAAGAGCAAGAAACAGCCAACAAAAAATAGTGATGTATGCTGATTCCTCAAATAGAAGTGTTATATTTTGCATGCCAAATTCAATTCAGCTGTTTAAAATAATAAAGCAACACAGCATTATTCCAGTATTTTTCAACTGAATAAAGCAAATCTTTCATGCTTACTGTAATGAAACCAGACAATTTAGAAAAACAAAACCATTCATCTGATAACTCAGTGAATTTTAAATATATATACAAATTAACTCCAGAATAATAACATTTTTATAACTATTTTTAAAAAGGTGTAGATGAAAACACAAAGATTTAAATAGATGAAATGGAGCAGATATACATAAAAAATTAAATGCAATGCCAAAACCAACATTGCTTGTACTTCAAAAGTAAGAATATTTTATTTATTAAGCTCTATAAAAATATATAATAGCAATGAAATTATTCAGATTATTTGTAAACTATAGTGGAAATGTGGAGCAAAGTTGTAAATTAATCACATAAGACATCATTTAATAGCACCAGTATTATCACACCAAAGGTAAATTGTAAGTGTGGAGAGTATTGGTTTTACAAGTTATATATGGAATTCTTTTTCAATTATGAGTAAAACAGGGATTTTGATACTGTTTCATTTTGTGCTTTGACACAGCTCTATGTAGCCCAGGCTGGCCTTGTACTTGTGGTGATCCTCCTGCCTCAGCCTCCCAAGTGCCAGGATTACAGGTGTGCATCACCATGCCCGGCTCTGTGTGCATATGATCTATTATTTAAATAGTAATTATATATTAGTGGTGAGACCTCAAACCAAAATCAAACAGCTGTCAGAAGTTGTCTGCCTGCAGGAGGCCTCTCCCTGCTTAAACAGAGCCCCCCACAGCTGCCAAGGGACAGAACTGCCCACCACCCCAGCTGCAGGGACTGTGAATGCCCAGGGTTCTGTGCTGCTGGGGTCCTGTGACTGTTCATCACACAACCTTGTTGGACCCCAGTGCCTAAAGTGCTCCCTTGAAGCAGCAGCAGAGCCCCATTTCTCTCTCCTTGTGTGGGCCAGACTTAGTGACTGGATTCTAACTAACAGAATAAAGAAGTGGTGACCTGGCCCAGAGGGGCACACCTGTAATCTCAGCTACTCAGGAGGCTGAGGCAGGAGGATCACAAGTTCCAGGCCAGCCTGGGCAAGTTAGGAAGGGGAGGAGGAAAGAAGGGGAAAGGGTTAGGGATGGAGGAGGAAGAAGAGCAGAGGGAGGAGGAAGAAGAGAAAGACTAGACAAGGGGGGAGGAGGAAGAGAAAGGGACCCCACCAAGTGTCTAAATAAACACTAAGCTGCACTCAGACAGGGAGGCATCTGAATGCCATCAGTGAAGCAAAGATAAGGCACTGAAGCTCATCTAAACTGAAGCACAGACAGCAGGAGAGGTGAAAGAGGAGCAGAGTCCTACTGACCTGCAGGACAACATCCCGCAGCCCAACATGCAGATGACAAGAGTTCCCGAAGAGGAGGAAATATTGAGGCAGGAAAATATGTTTTAAAATAATAACCTAGGGCCTGGGGATTTAGCTCAGTGGTTTCGCTGCCTGCTGCACAAGCGCAAGGACCCGAGTTCGATCCCCAGTACCAAAAAATAAAAATAAAAATAAAATAAAATAATAACCTAGCCAGGCGTGGTAGCCCACACCTGAATTTCAGCCCTTGGGAGGCTGAGGCAGGAGGGTCTCTGGGAGTTTGGGACCAGCTTGGGGTACATAGTGAGTTCAAGGCCAGCCAGGACTACAGAGTGAGGCCCTATCTCAAAAACAAATGAAAAATAAATTAATTAAATAATAACCAAGTATGCATTAAACTTGATGAAAACACATAGCCAAGAAACTCAAGAAATAACAATAATAATAATAATAAAAAAGAGGGGGGCAGAGATGTAGCTCAACAGCACAGCACCTGCCTGGCAAGTGTGAGGCCCTGAGTTTGATTCCCAGTACCAAATAAAAAACAATCAAGAAACACACAAAGAGAATCAGCATATGAGCATATGAGCTTGCTGAATATCTGCCTAGAGGGGTAGCCAGAGTTCTCACATGACTCACATGGTTTACCTCAGAACCCCACAGACACGAGAGCAGAAGTTTCCAGGCCTTCTGAAGGCCCAGAACCAGCAGCTCATTGACTCCACCTCTTCTGCTAAGTGAAATGAATCAAAGGCTTTCCACGACTGCAAGGGTTTGCAAAAGGCTCACTTGGGGTCAGCTTTGGCAATCCGCTACTTCTTTTTCTTTTCTTTTCTTTTCTTTTGAGACAGGATCTCACTATGTAGTTCAGGCTGGCCTTGAACACACAGCGATCCTCCTGCCTCAGCTTCCTGAGTGCTGGGATTACAGGTGTGTACCTGCTACTTCATTTATAAGCAAATATAGAGAAAGATAAATGGAACACTTTACAGTAATCAAGATCCAAAAAAAGCAAGAAAAGAAAAGAAATAACAACAGATAGAACTAGAAAATGAATAGCCAAATGGTAGATTTAAACCTAAGTATATCAATAATTACATTAAATATAAGTGGATTAAACACTGGTGATGAAACAGAGATTGTCAGGTTAGAAAAGCAAGGCCAAATTATATGTAGTCTTCAAGAAGCTCACTTTTGGGCCAGGGATTTAGTTCAGTGGTTTTGCCGCCTGCTGTGCAAGCGTAAGGACCTGAGTTTGATCCCCAGTACCCAAAAAAAAAAAAAAAAAAAAAAAAGAACCAGCTCACTTTTTTGTTTGTGTTATGGTTTATATCCAGATGCCATTTCTAAAACCTCATACAATCATACATGGCATTTGGGAGGTGACTGGATCATGGAGTTGTGGTACTGGTTTAGTCCACTGATTGGTTCGTGCCTGGGTGTGATGCTGGGAGGTGAATCCTGGTTGCAGGAAGTGAGTCATTGGGGGCAGGGCCCAGAAGGGTCTATCTCCCTTCTCTTCCTTTGATCTCTCTCTGCTTCCTGTCAACCCTGCCATGGACTGTTTCTCCTCTGCCATGCTGCCCTGCCTTAGACCCAGCCAACTACGGATGGAAACCTCTACAAACTATGAGCCAAAAGAAGTCTGTTCTTGGGCCAGGGATTTAGCTCAGTGGTGCCATGCCTGTCTCTCAAGCACAAGGTCCTGAGTTCAGTTCCCAGTACAAAAAAAAAATCTGTTCTCCTTTAACTTGTGAGTGGGTATTTTGTCCCATCAATGAGAAATTAACTAAGACAGATTTAAGTACCAGAGAAGTAGGGTTGCTGCTGTGATGATTCCTGACCAGGAACCTTTGGAATGAGCTTCAGAAATCTTTGGGACTGGCTTGCAGGAAGAGTTTGCAAAGGTTTGGAGACACTAGCTGAAGAAGCAGCACTGGAATGCTGTGAGCCAAACTTGGTAGGAGATTCTGGACGGAGCTCAGAAGACCAGAATGCTGATGGAAATGCCGCTAAATTATGCTGTGTTATGTGTGTTGTGTGTGTTATGCTCTAGTAGACAACTTTTTTCTATTTTGCTCATGTTCAGAGACTTTCCAAGAGACTGGGATTAAGGGCAATGAACTAATTAATCTGATGGAAGAAATTTCAAGGCTGTCTGATGTTGAAGTGGTGGCATGGCTACTCTTGGGGACTTTTAGCCAGATCTATGTTGAGAATCAAGAGCAAAGGGCCAAGCAGAATGATTTTTAAAGTTTTGAGTTTGGCCAGAAAGGAAGCTCCAGTTGTAGCCTGCAAGTTGTGAAGCAGAGAACCAGGCTGCTGAAAAGATTAGCCTTAAAAAGCCAAATACTGAGCTGAGCATGACACAAATCTGTAATCCCAGCACTTGGGAGGCTGAGGCACAAGGATCTCTGAGTTCCAGGCCAGCCTGAAATAAACAGCAAGACCCTATCTAAAAAAATAAAATAAAGTTAAGCATTTTATTAAATCCTTAAGAAACATATGTAATAAATTAACTCATGCTGTTTCATAAGCTTGACCACAATTAAATAAACAAAACTTTACATATAAAAATTGTATTTTTAATAAGACACATGTAGAATCCAGAGCCTAAACTTTGACCTAATAATTCTATTCCAGGGACTCTGGCCCAAAGAAATATAAAATTCATAAATTGTTTTTGCACAAAAATGTTCACTATCACATCTTTCTTAACAGTGAAGAAGGGATTCTGCCTCGATTTGAAGCAAACCAGGGCTCTGTCACAGGACAGCCTGTTTTAGTCCTTGTTATTTTGAGACAGGATCTTACTATGTAGGCCTGGATGGCCTCAAACCTGCAGCAATCCTCCTGCCTCAGCCTTCCCAGTGTGCACCACCACACTGGCAGAGCCTTCCTATGTCATCGCATGGAGGCATCTGTCTGAACACTTGCGTTCACTCTCCCTGGCACCTGTCCTTCTCCCACAGCCTTGGGCTTTCCTGGCTCCCCCGGGGCCAGAATCCTTGGAGGCCAGCTCACATTGTAAACAAGGCCTTCAACAAACTCCCCAAAAAGCACCCACCTTGAGTGCGCCTTGGGTTTCCTGCCAGCGCCTCACCTGATCCCCTGCCATGGCCCACCCTATAGGGCTTTCGGATGCCAGCAGGAAAAGCCTGTGCTGTGGCTGGCTTTGGAACTTAATCGCCAATGCCACAGTCAAGAACTCAGGAGGCTGAGGCAGGAGAATCACCAGGAATTCGAGACCAGCTTGGGGTACATAGTGAGTTCAAGGCCAGCTTGAACTACATAGTGAGACCCTGTCTCAAAAAACAAACAAAAGGGCCAGGGATTTAGCTCAGTGTTTTTGCCGCCTGCTGCGCAAGCTCAAGGACCTGAGTTCGATCCCCGGTACCAAAAACAAAACCAACAATTATTCAAAACAAACAAAAAAGAAAGAAAAGAAATACCAGGAAGGCTGTCAGCCTCTTCTGGCTGTGCATTCTTAGAGCCCCGCACAATGCCTAGCACACAATAGGCTCTCTAAATACTAGGGGTGCGTTTACACTGAGTTCTACACATAGTAGCTTCTCAACAAATGTGTGCCAGATGATTGATGGCCCCAAGCCTGTGGAGAAGTCTGTAAACAATTCCTTATGAAGCCATAAAGATATTGTCTAGAGAAAACTGCAATACAGGCCTTATCTAGCCAGAGTAGTCCTATAATCTCATTCTTACTCCTTCCTGAGTTGTAATAGCTCTCCTCGTGCCAATCTGTGTGCCAGATTTCTCAGCACCCCCATAGGCTTTGAAGTAAGGAAGATTGAATAACTTTTGCCTGAACTTGGACAAATTTCATAGTAAACAGATTACAAACAATTCCCTTTCATGTATTCTTAGATGCTAGGGAGACATTAAGCACCTCAGAACGAGAAGCATCCTGAGAGAGAGACATTAAATTCAGCTTTGCAAGCCAAATCGAACATTACCATACCTCCCGAGGCACAGACCTAGGACTGGGCAGCTCAGTGGGTAGAGTGCTTGCCCAGCACATGGGGGGCCCTGGCCCCATCACCGGGAGGACACTGATCTTCAGATAACTGATTTGGGGGTTTTTAGGGAGATGTGTTCATTTGTTTGTATTCTGGAGACAGGGTCTCAGTGTGTAGTTCGGGCTGACCTTGAACTTGCTCCCTCAGCCTCCCATGTGCTGGAATTACAGGAGTGTGCCACCACACAGGCCCAGATAGCTGATTATATCCCCCTAAAAATACAAAGGAGAAAATTACACCATTTGATGCTTCTTCACCATCTACACCTTTTATACCTATAGACAAAGGTCTTTGGGGCTTATTTAGTCATAGATTTTCCTCCTTTTTTTTGTTTTGTTTTTGTTTTTGTTTTTTTGAGACAGGGCCTCTCTTAGCAGTTCAGGCTGGCCCTGAATTCACTATGTAGCCCAGGCTAGCCTCAAACTGGTGGCAATCCTCCTGCCTCTGCCTTCCAAGTGCTGGGGTTACCGGCATGCACCACCTCGACCAGCAGCATAGATTTTTGTTATGTATCATCCTACTCATTTTCCATACATTCCTACAAACACAACCTTTTTTCAATGCCAAATCATACTGAAAGTACTTCGAAGATCTTGCAAATGGCACTTGAGTGCAAAGATCTCAATTAAAGTGACAGTGATGTCAATGGAGACGATAAGACTCCTACAACTCCACCCCAGCTGTAACCATGGGCAGTCATTGCGGAAAGGGGGTGAAAAAGGAATCAACAGGTGTTCTGTACATGGACCAACTCTGCAGGAGGACTGTAACCATTATGTACTGCAATCACGTACTAATTAAAAATAAACCCTAAGAGGGCCCAGGATTTAGCTCAATGGCGCCGCCACCTGCCTCGCAGGTGCAAGGTCCTGAGTTTGATCCCCGGTACCAAAAAGTAAATAAATAAACCCTAAGTACCCTTGACTCTTGATTTCGGATAAGTCTCGTATTTCATGGACTATTCCTCCACATAAGGGAGGGTGGGAGAAGCCAAGAAGACAGCATTAAAAATGCAGTGACTCACTATTTCAAATCCATCTTTATCGAGGCAGATTACAAACTACGTTTTTAAAAACTCACTCACAAACCAGGCCTGGAGTCACACACCTGTCACTGCAGCAGTCAGGAGACTGAGGCAGGAGGATCGCTGAAAGTTGGACTCCAGCCTTGGTTACATGCAGAGACTGTCTCAAAAAAAAAAGAGAGAGAAAGAGAGAAAAGAAAAAACTCCTGGTTGAAGAGCTAGCTGGAGAAAGGACTTGGTAGCAATGAACTATCTTCTGTCTTCTGCAGCCCTGAGCCTTTCCGGTAGACAGAAAATGTTGAATTTGCACAGAGAGATCCTCCCTCAGGCCAGTGTGGCCCAAGACCCCAGCAGTGCAGAATAATAAATTAATAGCAGTGCCGGACCGCAGGGCATTTGGGGTCGCTGTATATAAAATGGTGTCCCCATTCGGCGGCGGCATAAATTGGGTCTAGGTCTCCTTCCACGTGTGGCTTTGGCATTCTTAATTAATGCTTTTATCATCTCTATAAAGCTCCCAGCTAACGAACCCCTCCAGGAATTGCTCCAGCCATATTCAGAAAAAAACCCGATCTGAGCGTGCGAATCCAGACTCTGGTGGCCCGAGGAGTGGACCAGGTAGGCGAAAACGAATGCTCCTGTAATAAGCTACCTGCGTGCCCTGTGTGGGCTAGTGACCTAGAAACACTTTTCATCTAGTGCTCTAGAAGGAAAAGAAGATAGATTAAATCAAACGGTTTTCAGCGCTGCCAACTGCTAAGGAGAAATCTGTCATTTTCTAGATCAGAAAGAAAGAAAGGAAAGGCTGTGGTCCGTGGACAATTATTTAGTCCCTCTTTGTGCCCTTGGAGGCGGCCTAACATGACACTTCCGGCCTTCAGAGTGAGCAGAGATTTCTCTGTCACACTCTTCTCTCCGGTCCCCTATTCTCATGCAAATCCACCCTACCGGTCCTCTTCCATCTCTTCCATTCCCATTTTAAAACATAAAAAGAGCCAAACCCCAGAAGCCAGGGAAGGGGAGAGGGCAGATAACCTCTCCTACCTTTTCCGTCACTTAATTCCTTCCTGATCTGAAGCTAACACTAAACCTGCTGCCTGGAAAAGTCCTGCAGCTGACAAAGCCCACAGTGATTCACATTCATAAATTGAGATTAACTGTGTGGAACGTTGGCCGGGACTCCTGAATTCTGTTTCTGGCTCTGCTAATGATTCCTTTCCAAAGGCAGATTGTTCCCTTAAGAGAGCAGTACCTCCCCAGCCAGCAGGGCCAGTTATGCAGAAACTAAGCCAGATCTCTCCAACACAAAAGAAATTATGTGGTGAATTTGGTAAATTCAGGACAAGATACAGCTAGAGAATCATTCATTTGTTAAGCAAATATTTATTAATGACCTATTTTGTGTCCTGTAGGAAATGCACACTTATACACAGTTCCTCTGCTCAAGAAATAGGATCCAGTAGAGGAGATAAAACAAAACGATTTTTAAAAGTGTGAGTGCAAGTGGGACATGATAGTGTAGGCCTGTTATCTCAGCATTTAGGAGGTGGAGGCAAAAGGATCACTTTGAGCTCAAAGCCAGGCTGGGTGACATGGTGAGTTCAAGGTCAGTTTGAACTCCATAGTGAACCCCTGTTTCAAAAAACAACCAAAACTTATGAGTGCATCGAGGGCCCCAGAAGTTCAGAGGAAAGGATTAAAACTCTAGAAATTGCTTTTTTAACTGTTTGGTTAGATAGAGGTCCCAATACCCCTAATTCAATCCCAACTAATTCAATAATCAACATGGCCAGAAAATATAGTGTTTGTTGTGCAGGGCACACCATCAGGATGAACAACAGTACCAAAACATTTAATGAGCACTTGTTATGCATCAAACAAAATTTTTTTAAAGGCACAAGACGACTCCTGGCCAGGGAAAAGGGCAACCACACTTGCTAGGGCAAACGGCACCGCAAAGCTGCTGGTGTAGAAAACAGCGTAGACCCTGCAATGCCAGATTCCTGGGCAAGGGAAACCAGAGAACTGAAAAATGGGAATCCAGCCTGTCCTCGCAGCCTGCCGGCCATTATGGGACAGAAACTCCTACTTTACCACTAAGAAGCCCAGAACTCATTAGCCTTGCGTGTCCTGTTCCAGGCCCGAGGTTCAGAAACAGCCTCTGGGTCCCAGACTAAAATAACTTGGGCAGTCTGCGCCAAGAAAGACTCTTTGCTGAAACTTGGATCAGATGTTCCTGTCTTAGCCTCACCTCGTACTCAATTTAAAAAAGGATTTAAAAAGCGCACTGCTTAGACAGGACGAACAGGCGGGCCCCCTTGCTGGGCTGGGCGGGATCTGGGACAAGGAGGGACATAGACAAGTGACAGGCAGAGACCTGGCCCGGCCAACCCCGCTGGGCCTCAGCGAGTGGATCCACGTGCGCTGCTGGGGGGAAAGGCCCAGAGGTCAGGCTTCTACAGCGGGTTCTGTTTCCTTTCATTTCTTCTATTCAGTGCTCTAAGGAACATGTCTGGTACAAGGAAACTGTTGATTTGTCTTAGAATTGCAGTAACTCCCAAGATTATGACGGAGATAGTTTATTCCGAAATCCCTTCTTGAAACAAATACTTACTTAACTCACGGCCTAGGACCTGTCGCCAACTCTCCTCAGAGCGTGGACACTTGGAGCCCCGCCCATTGCTGAAATATAGACGTGGGGACGCGTGACGTCATAGTCCAGCGCCCGGCTCCACACACGTGCGCATGGGCAGAAAGGGCTTCCCGCCTGTCCCCAGCATGCTTTGCGCAGTCACGTGGCTACTCCCCCCCCCCAGCCCCCCAAGCTAAGAAAGCCTGGACTGCAGAGCAGAAGAGGTTCCTACAATGGTATAGTCTCCCTGATGAGAACGTCCTGATCTCTAAAACTAAACCATCCTGATCACAAAAACTATTAATTACAGTTTGAAACCTTTACGGAAGATGCTTTTTTGAAGTGCTACATCTCTGGGCAATCTAAAACAACAAATTTTTTTTTTTTTTCTTTTGAGACAGGGTCTCGCTATGCAGGCTGGCCTTGAGGTCACTGTGTAACCCAGGCTGGCCTCGAATTCACAGTGATACTCCTGCCTCAGCCTCAGGAGTGCTGGGGTTACAGGTGTGCACCACCGCACCCCGGTGATTAACAGAAATTTATTGCCCTCCGTTTTTTGTTTTATTGTTGTTTTGTTTTTTAGTTTTCTGAGACAGTCTCACTTTGTAGTCCAGATGGGTCTTGAACCCACTATGTAGCCCAGGCTGTCCTGGAACTCGTGGCAATCCTCCTGCCTCAGCGTCCCGAGTGCTGGGATTACAGGCATGTGCCACCACACATGGCTCTTGCCCTCCATTTTAAAGGCTGTGAAGTCTAAAATCAAAGAACCAACAGATTTGGTGTCTGAGGGCCCACTTCCTGGTTCACAAACAGCACCTTATTCTGTGCCCACACATGGTGATATCTGAAAGGGTCGCCGAAGAAGGGGGCACACACGAGCATTCAAGCAGCAAGCTTTACTGGGGTGGCAGTCTGCAGCCTGCCGGACTGACTCACAGAATGGAGACCAGCAACTGCATGGGTTGAGCTGGAGGCTTATATGGGATTTTGCGGGTGGGAGAACACTAGTCCATTGGTAGGGGTGGGTAATTGGGGCTGGGGTATGTAGCAATAGGTTTCAGTCGGGGGAATGGAGCAACCGTTTTCGGGAAGCCCCTGTCTTACTGGAACATCTGACCACGAAACCAGTGGGGCAGAAAGTCACTAACAAAGGGAGGTCATGCCTTAGTTATGCGAAAGTTTCCTGTTCCCTGTGGCCAGAGTGGGGCAAGGGGAAAGGAGAGGAGGGGGCTTGCTCCGTGGGGGCTCTGAAGTACCTAACAATATCTTTTCTTAGGGCACTAATCCCATTTATGTGGACCCCACCCTTATGGCCTCTTGACTTCTCAGAGGCTCCGAGCTCTCTCACCATTGCCCACACATGAATTTGCGGGGAGACTCAAACGCTGAGACGACTGCAGCAGGCATAAGGAACTGGTGGAATCTCACTCGTCCACCGGCCTTGGGGTGTAAGGTATCAGGCAGGACCTGCTTTTGGCAAAGGGAAATCCTCTGGAAGAGGTGACACCCAGGGTTAGCATGCCTGCCTTATTTTCTGTGGGCTTCCCCCTGAGCACAGTGATTGGCATGACATAAACATCTAAATAGTTGCCCAATGAGCTGATAAACAGATAAAAATGGAGAGTTTAAAATGGGCGTAATGGCACACATCTGTAATCCCAGCACTCAGGAGGCTGAGGCAGGAGAATCACCTGAGTTCCAGGCTAAACCACACCCAGTTTTCCTTCCATTTTAACCCACCAGAATCAAAACAGTAAGACTAGGTGAGCATGTCCTGGGATTAGCTTCCTCTTGTTGGAGATGACGAACTGTGAGAGGAACAGATGCCCATCAGGGTTGGAGAAAAATAAGACAGTTATCCCTACTGTTCCTATCAAAAATACAATGCGATTCCACTGGTCTCCAAACAAAACAGTCTTCCAGTTAGGATTCCTTTTGAAGTATTCTTTTTTTTTTTTTGCACTGTTGGGATCAAACTCAGGGCTTTGCACATGTAAGCAAGAGTTCTTCCACTGAGCTAGCTGTCTAGCCCTAGAATACTGTCTTTCTTTTTTGTTTAAGACAGGGTCTCGCCATATAGTTCAGACTGACCTCTAACTCACTATGTAGCCAGGCTGGCCTCAAGCTCACAGAGATCCTCCTGCCTCAGCCTCCTGAGTGCTGGGATTACAGGCGTGTGTCACCACGCCGGGCCCTGGAGTATTCCTCTACATACTTTTATCCCAGTTGAGTCTGTCTTCACTATAGAAACACCACCATGTAGTACTGACAGAGACAGACAGACAGATACTGATTCCACCCCCTGAGGATCTCCCAGCTCACAGAGCTCATCTTCATCTGTTTTCTGTCGCTGTAACAAAATCCTTTGCACTGCACCCTTATGAGGTTCATCGAGGCTCACTGCTCGGGAAGCTGAAATATCTCCGCTGTGAGCCACATCCAGCAAAGACTGGCTTCACTTGCATCACACTGGGCCGACATGGTCACACGGTGAGCAAATGCTGAGTGTGAGAAGCTCATTCAGAGGGCGGGGTGCACACCTGTAATCCCATCACTCAGGAGGCTGGGCAGGAGGATCGCCAAAAGTTTGAGGCCAGCCTGGGCTACATAGTGAGTTCAAGGCCAGCCTGAACGACATAGGGAGACCCTGTCTCAAAAAAGCAAACAATCAAAAATTAATTATTTGTTAGTAGAAAGAAGTTAATTCTAATTTTTGAAGAGAATTACAGGAAGCCTTTCACTTTTATTGACTCTGCCAATGTAAAAATAAAGAGGTGCAGAGAAACATTTTCAATCTCCTAGATGGGTTTAGATTGAAATGCTATCAGAAAACAGAAGAGATGTAGATCTTAGCTGATTTCCCCTGGAACCAGTTTTCTGGAAGGTTTAGGTATATACCAAAGCTCCTGTGTGTGGATAATAGCTCACCCTTCTTCAGAGGGCTTTGACATGGCTGATCCTTGCTGATCCTCATAACAACTTAGCACAACGTCTGCGTATTAAGTGTGAGGAAATGTGAGCTAAGAGAGACGTCGCGGTGTGGTTTATTGGAGGTGTCACAGCCAGCGACAGCCCCACAAGTAATTCCTACTCTCCTCCTTCTAGTCATTAATGCCTCTCTACACTAATATAAAGGTAGCCACACCTCCCTTCCCAGGACACTGAGAGGCACAGCGCTTCGTGGTCTGGGATTACATCCGGGGTTATCCTGCCGAGGCCGCCATGCTGCCATCTTGGTTTGTGAGCTTGTTCTCTTCAGCTGGTTGGGCCACAAGGAATATTTCAGTACGATCTCTGCTTATGTTTGTGCAGGGAAAGGACCCCAACGGGGGTCAGAAACATTGAATTCTAGTCTTTGTTTTTGCTGTGGAGAATAATGTAGCCATTGCTACAAACACTGAATTTTTACTTCACCTAAAGCCTCTCCCTGAGCATGCTGTGTGGAGAACCGTGAATGAGCTTCCACTTCATTGATAAGAAAACTTAGTCCCAGCCGAGTATGGTAACACATGGCTGTAATCCCAGCCAGCCCTCAGGAGGCTGACACGGGGATAGCCACAAGTTCAAGGCCAGCCTCGTCTATATAGTGAGTTCAAGTTCAGTCTGAACTACATAGCAAGATCCTGTCTCCAAAAAAGTAAAAAAGAAATTCTTATTTGTTAAGCCACATGTAAAAGGTCCTGTGAACAAAATAGAGGAAATGGGCTTCTGATGCCATTATTTTCTTCACTTAAGGCTTTTATACTCTGTCACATTAGTTTATTTTACTTTATACTTAAGATATGCTCTGAGGGGCTGGGGATTTAGCTCAGTGGTTTCACCGCCTGCTGCACAAACACAAGGACCCGAGTTCAATCCCTGGTACCAAAAAAAAAAAAAAAAATGCTACAGACAGAATTTTAAAACCTAAATGTTATGCTGAATTTACTGGATGACTACCCCTTTAAAATTTTGTATGATGAATCCCATTTGTTAAATGAATTATCCTGAGCCAGGTGCAGTGATAAGTACCTGTAGTCCCAGCTACTTGGGAGACTGACACAGGAGGATTCCTAGGGCTCAGGAGTCAGAAACAAGCCACAGAGACTCTGTCTCAAAAAAAAATTACCCTTTAATGCTTTCGTGTGCACACACACACACAGGATCAAACCCAGGGCTTCGTGCATATTAAGCAAGCATTCTGCCACTGAGGTAAAAACCCAGCCCCAACCCCATGCTGCTCTTATAAAACTCAGTCTTTCTTGATGAAGTGCTTAATTAGAAGAACTTTTATAATTCAACAGGCCATTTACACAGCTTTGTACATCTGTTTCATGATCCCAAAACATGCTCCAAAGACATAGGACAATCTGATGTTACCGAGCCCCTCCTCTCTTCTCCGTCCTCATTTGCCTAAGTCCAGGGGAAGGGGCTGCTGGTCTGTACGATGGTTTTTATTAACACCTTGACAATTATTTCCCCTCAGTGACATATTCTGAGGTGATAGTTCATCGATGGATTAAGGAAACACTGCAATCTAACATATTCCAGTGTGTAATCAGGACAAGATTAATAGCTGCACTTAATGAAAGCCATCTGTCTGTGAAAGCCACTCACTCATTTTCTCCAGTGCATTTTGGATTCCAATAAATGGTGAGAGCCTTAGAGTCATGTGAGTCAGGCAGAGGCAGGGGGACGCTTTGGCAGAGTCTTCCCTTCTCCTAGGACGCAGCCATGTGGTCTGGAGTTGGAAGCAGGAAAACACAGTTGATTGAACTCTACCAACAGGTGTGTATCCCCTTAAAAGAACTGAGCTGATTCTTGGGGTGTGCTATGGCTTGTATCTAGATGTCTTCCCAAAGCCTCAAGCACTCATTTCAGACCTGGCTGGATCTAGGGTGTATGATACTGGGACTAAGGGTGTGTGGTACTAAATTAGTCCATTATTTGGCTTTAACATAGTTCTGGGAGGCACCACCCAAAAGGCTGGTAGCCTGCGTGGGATAAAAGGGAAAGGCAGGCTGCTGCTGCTTGCTGCCTTCTGCCTACCCTGCCATGGACTGTTTCTCCTCTGCAATGTCCCTCTGCCATGCCACCCTGCCTTGGAGTCAGCCAACCA